TTGTTCTAGAGTCTAAAGTTTAGCATCTCATTTCTCCACCTTGTATCTTTCATACCTGAGGGTGTATCCTATCACATAGTTTTACATCCCACATGTTTCTAAAGTCTACATCTAAACTCTAAAAAAAAAATGATTGTAAAAGGGTTTTTGATATTTTCATGAAACCTTAATAGATAAACTGATTACAATATTCATTTTATATTTTACAACATGAGAAATATGTAATTTTTGTTTTTACAAAGATACACTTGGAAACATTTTAGAATTTGAGCATAAGCATGAAAACAAAACATATTTTTTTTAAAAGGAAAAATTAATTTAAAATATTTAATATTTTTTTCTTAAAATTTTTGAAATTTTTTGAAACTTTTTTAGAAAAGTTTTGGAGGAAACCAAGTATTTTAATATCAGATCTATATCTTACAATGTAAGTATACAACCTAATATTAAGAAAAATTGATAGAAAAACATTTGGAAAAAGCACAATTTTTTTGAAAGAATTTTTGAATTGTTTTTGGAATTTTTTGTTTTTTTAAGAAATATATATAATATAATATTATATTAATTAAATATTATTAAATATGTGGGTGGTCCAGACCAACTAACTAGGCCAAGCTCAGCCGGGTTGGGTCAAAATCAATGTAACAAGACTAACCCTTTCATTAGGTGGGCCGGACCGGGCCAACCATTTGGACTAGGCTAAAATAGGTCCAACCCACCCCAAAGTCAATTATTTATAGAATGTGAATAGTACTTCACGTTCTGCATGCAAGTGAAATGGTTGCAGAAAATGGCTCACTTGATGTAGAAGTCTCGGCTATGATCAAGAGGTTAAGCTGATAGTTTGGGCGACATTGCTGTGAGGAATGGTGGTCAAAGTTGATCGCAAAATAAAGAAGAAGATTTTGTAGAGGTGATAAAGAGGAAGAAACAATGGTTGTTTCAGGCATGGTGGAGGCCAGTTGGTGGTCTTGGAAACGCGTGGTGGAGCTGGTAGTAAAGAAGCTAAAGGAGAGGTGGATAACGAGGCACTGATGAGAGAAAAAAAGAAAAAGAAAGAGTCATAGAAGGCTGTCAGGGAGAGAAGAAAAATGGAAATAGGGAGATGACTGGTTTTTTATGATTTTTGGACTAAATTTTCTTCTTTCTCGTGCCATGAAATCCACTCTTATTTATAGAAGGTGGAAGACGGTAATCTTTTTTACCCAAGAAAAATATTTCATTTCTTGATTCTGTTGGAAAGGATCCCAACCGTTGTTTTAAAATATACACTAGGAACTGTCAAATCTGACAATTCAAGGCTGTTTGAGTTGATCTTTTTAGGCCAATGCTGGGGTCGTTATGATGTTAATAGGCCCAAACGGATCATACTCGATGATAGAGGGATGTTAGGTCACTATTTTGATTCATATGTTGTCAAGTTTGATGGATATATGAGGCATTAAATGTAGTATCTTTTACAACTTAATTTTTGCAATGGCACACTTGATTTAAATCCTTTAGTTTAAGCACCTTTTACAACTTAATCCTTGATTTCTAGATTATGCAATTTGAACCCTATGCATCATCAAATTTTTAATTTCTTTCAAATTAACAACTGATTTTATTAATTTCAACCCCTAAACTCATGCTCCTCGTGCACTTTAATCTTTGGTTTTGAAATTATTCAATTTGACCCTCAATTAACTTTCAATCTTTAAATTTCTCTTAATGAACCCCTATTGCCATCAATTTAGTCTTTTCAAGTTTAAATTGTGTCCCTAATATTTCAATCTTTACATATTGATCTAAATTAGATCTTCAAATTTGATTTTCTTCAATTGAGTCCCTAATTGAATCCACAAAACCTATTACAAGTTTAATTAAGTCCTTGAACTTAGTTGATTCTTTCAATTTTTACCCAAATGATTTTCAAACTTAATTTCTCTTTAATTAAGTCCTTGAATAAGTCAATTAAATCTATTACAAGTTTAATTAAATCCTTAGATTTGATTAATTCTTCTAATTTTGGTCAAGTATGGATTTCAAACTCAATTTTCTTTCTTTCTTCATCCCATCTTGTGAAAATATCCCAAATCTAGCTATTATTCTAGTATTTTGGTTTGTGTGACTCGATGACTTATCTCTTAGTGTTCCAAAAATATTTTTGAATAAAAGAAGAAAAATAATTTTTTTATAAAACAATTTTAAAACAAGATAGGATGAATGAGGTATTTTAGAGGATCTAAAATTGGGTTATTACAATTATATTTTTTATAAAATAATTTTTAAGGATCTAAAATGGGGTTATTACAAGGAATATAACGAGTTATTGTAGTTATGGGTTGGAGAAGGAAAAGTGTTTATTGAAGAAGAAAATGGGGGTGTGGGTATGACTATAAAGACTATTTTTAGATATTGATATTAAAATCATCAAAACCGATAAAATTGTCTATCTTTATAGATTAATGTTAATGTTTTTTTTTTTAAATCAAAAAATCATCCATTTTTAAGGATTAAAGTCATTTTTTTTTTAAATAGATGAAATCTTCTACTTTTAGAGATTATGATAAAATTTATTAATGAGTCTTTGACTTTTAGGGACCAATACTGTTTTTTTAAACAAAATCCACAATAAAAATAAATGATTGATAGCTTGATATAACAAATTTAAAAAATATATATAATAAAGATAATATTTCATTTAAAAAAATATGATAAATGTGAGGTTAATATTTTGTTAGGCATAACTGACCAAACACTTGAATATCTAAGATAAATATCTATTTAAAATTTTAATTTTTTTAATAATTAGATAATAATTTAATTATTAATTTTATTTTATTTTAGAGAGCATGTGAATGATGTGACAAAAAAAAACATAAGTTGATTTGTGAACAATTGATTACAAGATTATGATTATTTTTCAGTTCGACAGATTCTGTACAGATAAACACGAGAATTTGAAAAGAAGAAGAAGAAGAAGAAGGGTTATTTAAGTTTTTCATTTCTCTCCTATAATCAATAATCTAATTTTGGTTTTTAATACAAAATAAATCTTAATAATTGATCACACAATGACAGGCAGGCTCCGTTTGCCAGTCGCACATGTAAAAGGGATGACACATGTTGACGGGGCGGCGTGTAAATCGCACTTCTTTTTTTTTTTGAATAATAAAATAAGATTAAAATTTAATAGTTAAGAAATAGCTTAATTTGTATTCAAGGAGGGTGTGGGTGTGGCGATGACCACCATGGCGGTTCGCTCTGCGCGAAATGGAAAAGTTGTCTTGTCTTCATGGTTGATTAATAAATCAAGTAATAATAAGAAGTCAGCCATCTTTTGGAGGGCGGCATCGTCTTCTTCCATTCCCAAAATTGATGGTGATAAGGTCAAGAAGATAAGGGAAGAAGAACGTCGTCTATCAGCTGTAATTGACGCTCTCAATGACCGCAAGCTCCCTCCTGAACTCCGTGGCCAACGCAACTCTGTTAGGTTAGTTCCTTGATGCTCTCTTCTGCCTGCTTTTATTATTTGTTATACTAACAATTCACGCTCTCCTTTTTTATCATTATTATTTGGCTGTAGGGAAATAAAATCCGTTGTTTTGAGTTCTTTTATTAATTTGGACTCAAAAAGTGCTGAGATTCTGTATTACAACTACTACTGCTATCTTCTTTGTTCTACCTATAATGCTCCATCAAATAAAATTGTGCCTTGTCACGGCGATGCAGGGGGTGCTTGGGGTTAACAAAAGAACTAGCTAATGTTGTAGAAAAAGTATATGCGCTTGGGGGGTTATCATACTGCCACATTTCCTGTGCGCTTAGGATTTTTACGCACAGGCTCAGGCTGTTTCTTCCTCATTTAATTGTTAGATTATGCGAGTACTTGGCTCAGCAGCATCAGTGGAATATGATGTCTGGTTGTCATTTGGACAGGTCAGAAACGGACATTATCAACGTTGTCGAGCAAAGAATATGGCACTCAATGGAAGAAGGCCAATTTGAGAATTTACCAGGGAGAGGAAAACCCCTTAACCTCAGTACAAATTCTCATGCTGACCCAGCTGAAGACACCTTGTATAGAATCCTTTCAAAAAATGGATGTGCACCCGAGTGGGTTGAGCTTAACAAAGAGATAAGGCGCCAGATATCTGAATGGCGGTTAGCATTGAAGAAAGCTTGGATGAGCAAATGCAATGGGGATCACTCCAAATGGATTGAATGGTCAGAGATTTTGCAAGTTCAACTGCGTCATATCAACAATAAGGTCAGCACTTCGTTACCCATCTCTGCCTAATGTTAACTTTCATGTGGCCTTTAGCTCAGTTGGAGCTGTTGAACCTTGATGCACCGCGCCGCGCCGCACCCTTGGTTTGTCTCCCAGTTGTGGATGCTTAGCTGCTTGACATTCACAGATGGTTGAAACTTCCTATATGAGATGGTCCTAATTCTACTAAGTTAAAACATTTGTTGCACTGTCTTGGGCACAATTCTGTCAATGCCCATGTGCAGATAGTGGCATTGGAGCATCTCCTTCTGCTGTTACTATTTCATCTTATCCCTGTAAATATTTCTCCTGTATGGTTGATATGGACATGACTTGAATGTAGATGACGCACTGCAGGTTTTCCGCTACAACCTCATCGTACCATTTGGGCGACAGATGTTTGGTCTGAAGTGGGAAAAAGAACTAGATCGTGTAAGAGAATGAGACCTTTTGTTATCTGGCCGAGTGGGATCTGAGATAGTGTTTCTGGGAGCTGTTGATTGCTGATATTGGTAGGATCTCATGAACATGAGTAATCTCTGTTCTATTTATCAGTACCCTTGACAAGAAGCACATTTCTTTGCTTAGCAAACTTTATTATATTTCGTTATCATAGGTTATTTGTGAACTTATTTGGTGGCCAAATAGTAGTACATGTAATGCAGATTCTTGGTAGGAAAGATATGGGATACTTTCTATTACATGATTATGCGGTGACTATATATATATATATATTTGGTAATAACATAACAACATATGGTATAAGTTTGTTTCTTTAACATTATCTTGAGTCAAATGACTTTCGAGTCTAAATCAATATTTTTACTTAAAGCGAGATTTAAAAGGTACAAGTTTATGGACCAAAGTTAGAGAAATAATTTTAACAAGATCAAGTGAGACAGCTATGATTAGAGTGCATCTTTTTCCCTTGACGAAGTTGCACAAAAAGAAGATGAATTTTAGAGCTACTCTCTCTCTCTCATGTTCAAAAAATGGAAACCCTGTATTATTTTCCACAAGGAGATTTCCAATGACCTGTACTTCTTCCTCTGAAACTAGAGCCCAATATAATTTGTCAAGCACATCTAGTTTCTGCAAGGATTTGACCCTGCAGTAAAGGATTTAGAAGTTGAAACCACTAATAACCAGGCCAAATACGGGCATCTGGTTGCGTGATGATAAAAGATAGGTGGAACTTGACTGCTATAATTTTGTAACCAGGCCAGAAACCAGTCTTTACCTAGACCTTACACATATTACACATATTGGAATCCTCTATCATTGAACACATATTACACATATTGGAATCCTCTCTCTCTCTCATCCTTCCATTTATCTGCATAATTTTCGGATTGGTTTTCAGTTTTTTTATGCAATGCAATGACCACTAGATTCTACCTTGACTTTGACTTCTTTTTATGATCCAGATTCATGAGCTGGTTATAAATTCTATCTAAGCATATTCAGAGTCACTAACTTTTGTAACTTATAACAGGGTCTGAAGCATTTGTTCTAATCGTTTCAACGTGAGAGAGAAATCATTCGTGGCAAAAATTATACAAACACAAATAGTAAACTCTACTGAACATCTCCCACAAGGAAAAACATAGGAAACCTTCATGAGCTTTAAAATCCCTTTACAAACACAAATTATTATTATTTTGGTAGTTCTCTTTAGTATTTGTTGAAACTGATAAAATTGGAGTGCCGAGAGACAGAATCGCCCCAAAAACTAATAACAAATGATACACGACCATACTGAAAAAATATAATGAGCGAATGATACACCATGTCGAAAGTACATCAGAATATATGAATCTACTACACAAACAAGTTAACATGTGATCTCAGTGTACTTGTATACATTCAAGTACAGGTCACCCAGTCGGAGATGCTTTTGCTGCAAGATGGATGAGTGCTCGTTTGTGATAGGTGGTACGGAGTTTTTTGTACTTCTGCACAAAAGCCCCAAGATCTATCTCCTTATCAAGGAACTGCCTATGGAAGGCTTCAGATTCCTCGTCTGTCTTATTCATTGCCTCTGCAGATGAGGAACATATATTCAGATCATACCTAAGAAAATGCCTTTTATTTCTCATTTTACCATATGTTTTGAGCCTTCAAATGGACTGACTTTAATTTCGAAGTGTACCTTGTAGCCTTTGCAGGATGGAGGCGGGAGAGCAGGACCTCAACAACTCTTCTTTCTGTTTTTCCAGCTCATTTAGTTTTTCCTGAGCAGCAGCCAGCTCAGTTGTCCGAATTATCCTGCACTGAGCACACGAGAAAAGGAAAAATGGCTTCAAGTTCAATGCATTAGATTAAACAAGCAAGCATGGAAATGACAAACAGCACAAAACCTCACTTGATTTCTTAGCTCCATTATGCGTGGCTCTTTCTCCAAGTTCTCTCCTATACATAAAAAACAATTAGATCACATTAGTTCACGCTTTTATAGCCAAACCACTTTAAATATTTTAAAAAAAGGCTCCAGCAACTTACTGGCAAGCTGCAGAGTTTCCTTGCAAAGCTCATCTCTTATCTGATGGAAACAGCAAAAGAAGCAGTCACAAACAAGTATGCGGACTTTCCAAAAGGTGGGAAGGGGAAGATAAGTTTCAATTTCCCCCTCTTCTTGCAAGACTAAGGAAACAAAGGTATGACTTAATATCATGCAAAAGACATGGCAGTTTTGCATTTTTAGTTCCAGTTATTGTGCGGTTCAGAAAAGCACGCGTAAGTATCCAATCACATCAAGAAAACACAAGTCAGGTGATTCATTCTGATTTGAGGAATGCCTACATGCTTCCTTGGGTATGAGACCATGTTTGTATGAGCATGCATTTCTGAATTTACATACATGCCTGACTTGTTACCATGGGAACAAAGTTACTCTTAAGACTATAACTGCAAATTTTGCAGTTTATTCTAGAGATACACAAACAGTGTTATTCCTTGTGATCACATCATCATCTTCACTTTTGATTCTGGAGAAAGGAAGAGGAGGCTAAGTCTATTTGCATGCCTACCAGAATGATAATAATCGACTAATTGAGTAAGTGAGTGGCAGGGGATGGGGCTAAAACTAAGGACACAAGAAGAGAAATGAAAAGAAGCAAAGTTCATTTGGCTGGAATAATTTGGATGCTGTAAAGATACAGAGAAGTGAGATAAATTCACGATAGGAGGTGGCTTGTTCCCTGTGTAGATATATTCCGAGTCAGTTACAAATGAGGCACACTTTTCAAGAGAAATAAGTGAATCGAGAGGGAAATTATAATCATTATTTTTTGTTTCTTACCTCCATTTATCTCCTTGTTAAAGCATCCAAACAGAGGAAATTGTTTGAAATTCTCATCCACTTCTCCTAACTGGTAATAATGCTAGACAATTCTCAAAATCTGAAGATCTAGTGAAAGACAAAATGACGTCTATTCCTCCATTTACTAACTACTGTTCAGTCATCACTTCTTGAATTGATCATTTAAAGAATCAAGAAAGAATACTGCAAGTTCCTTGGAAAATGAGATCCCTAGAAACAAGCAGCAAGATGAGGGCAAGAAGGCAATACCAGCAGGTAACTAGGCTTTTCTGGTCCTACCAATTTGAATGGAGTCCACTAGCGTTTAACCCATACCACTCAAGGGGTAAAATTAATTGTAAAAGCAGATAATGGGAAAAAAGGAAGGAATTAGCTTAACTTACATTGTTTTGAATTTTAACCTGGTCAAGTGAAAGTAAAAATTGATGGTATGCATCCTTGTCAGACAATAGCTTCCGTAGCTCATCAACACTATAGACATAATTTCAAAGAAAACAAGTAATTAGAAAATGAACAAAACACGACATCTTGTAATGCAATCAGATTACCTGTATTAATTCTCCCAAGCTACAGAGGCAATTATCTATTTTGATCGAAAACATTCCCACCAAAGACACAGACTTAAACTCTCCTCCTTCATATGTTTACAGAAACAAGTGCGTAACGTTTTCTTTAATTACTTTAATTCATTTTGGTAAAAGAAATTGTTGTCTATAAAGGCAATATTTATCAAAGCTCCATACCTCGATGTAGCAACTAACATTACAAGATAGAACAATAAAAAAATCATGGGAGAGAAAAACCTTAAAGAAAGCTAAGAGATTCAGAGGAAAAAAACATAAAAGCTTTACCTTGATATTTGCTAAAACACAGATGCAGATGAAAAAGGATTTAGAACATTATGAGCATATCAGGTAGAGAATAGCATGCAGTAAGTTTATCCCATCTAAACAACAAACCTCTTGTCCTTCAAAAGAGTAATAATGGCAGCAGCTTCAGCAGGTGAAGGAGAGAGTGGGCGTTCAGTAGGCCTTTGTAAGCTGTGGGAACTAGAAGAGCTACTAGTTGGTGTTGCAGGGCGTGAAGAAGGAGAAGTAACTACAGATGGAGGGTACCAAGATTGTGCAGGATTAACATCTTGTGGACGCGCCTGCTCTTGTTGTTCCTGAGAACCCCTGTAGGAAAATGAACAGAAAAAAACATAAAACCATCAATCAATCAGGATTTCAGCACAGTAATTGTATAAATAAAAACCATTTTCACGGTATGATAACAACAACAACATAATCAAATCAAATCAAATCCCTAGAAATTCAGATTAATCTATCAAATCCCCAGATAGAGATACAGATGGGGGAAAATACCAGAACTTGAACATAGCTGCTTGAAAAGAGAAAAGGAGATCTCGATCCTCTGATTAAAAGAAATCAAGTCTTTACAGACTCTTTCTCTCGTGTTGGAAGAAATTTTGGTTGATGCTTGGAAGGATTTTGTTTGACGGGTGTCTTTTTTAACTTGTATTCGTGGCGTCGTCTTGATGGTTACGGACACGTGTGCCCGAAGCTTAAACCCCTCTCCTCCTTGCCAAAATTTTCCCGAGGGATAATGCAGCACCACATTCAGAACCGCGTTTTTTATTTTTCTCTCTTGGTTGATAACGCCTCACATACGGTCCCTACGTTACAAGCAATTGGTTAAAAACACCCTTCTAACAATTAAAATGTTAATTGAATCTTTCTTCTAAATTAAGTAATACCCTAAAACGCATAGAAAAGCAATATAGCTTTTTCCAATTGCTACATCGCTTTCTCCTTTGTTTTTTCTCTTTGTTTTTCTTTTTAAAAACTTTTTTTTTAATTTTAATTTTTTAATATTAAACTAGTTAAAAAATTATTTTTATAATTTTTTAAAACACTATGAATTGTTACAGTATTTCCTCACATAATTTTTTCATTATGATTTTATTGAAAATTATATATTGATTTTATTTTTTTAATATTAAATTAGTTGAAAGCTACAACTGTAGCTTTTCTTATAAAATACTATGGCTTGCTATAATGTGTTTCTACATAATTTTTTTTATGATTTTGTTTAAAATTATATTTATCAATTTTTTTTAATATAGAGTTGGTTGAGAATTTAGTTTTGTAATTGTTTTGTTGAAAACATTGTGAATGACTATAGTTTTTTTCTATATGATTTTTTTGTAGTTTTTGTTTGTTTATTATGATTTTTTTAAATTACCTTTTTTGATTTTATTTTTTAATTTTAAGCTGGTTGAGAATTATAATTACAATATATAAGGAACGCATCGTAGTTTTCCTATAAATTACTGTGGATTGTTATAGTGATTTCCTCACATGATTTTTTTCTAAAATTATCTCCATTGATTTTATTTTTTTAATATTAACTTAGTTAAGAATTATAATTACCAGTAAGACTAAATTATGTGGGGTAAG